TGCGCCAAATGTCAACCAAATCAAAATCCAGGCATAAGTCTTGTATGTGTTTTACAGAATCTTTTCTGAAAGGTCTACCACCGGAACAGTCAAGATCAGAGTCGAGTGTTACATTAAAGTCTCCCCCGAGAATAATTCTAAGCTCTTCATTAACGACACGGTCTTCAATATTTTTGTTTAACTTATCAAAAAAACGGCATTGGTCTTGAACCTTGTTTGGAGCATAAATATTTACAAACAAAAATGGCGAACCTTGGACCTCAGCTTCAATTATAATGGAGCGGCCCTCGTCATCACAACTAATAGTTCTTGGATTAAAATCTAAGTCACTTCTCACTAGAATCATCACTCCACAACTATGATTAGAGCCGTGAGCAAAAAAGAGCTTACCTCTCCATTGTGTTCTCCAAATGTCTTCAACGTCAACAGTGCTATAGGTCTCTTGAAGGAAGATAATATCATACCTCCGTTCATTTAGCCAGGTAAAAAGGGCTTTCCTTTTCGTGGCGGCTCGAACCCCTCGCACATTAAGAGAAAGTAATTTAAAATCAAAAAGTTCTTTCATGAATGGGATCAGGAAGAAAAAATAAATTATGCGCATACAAATAATTTTCACCGCAGTGGTACAAAAAAATTGAAAAGAGGTGGCAACTGAGGTGCAAAAACACGCAGCACGTAGGTAGACAATACACACAAAACGCACAAATACTCACAAAACAAAAAACAACAAAGGAAATAACAAAAGGACAAATAAAACAAAGAAAAACAAACAAACAAAGAATACATTACACAACGAAGTTTTAAGAAAGAGCGAAAAAAGGCGGCGGGGTAATTATTACCTATAAGACGCTGCCACAGAGCTTGGGACAATCGTTTCAACCACACCAATTGTTCTAACATGCCACTCCCGTTACAAAAAAAGATTGATGAAAAGCATAAAACAAAGTCAAATAAAATAAACTAAGTCCAAAAAAACCTAGATTTGTCTATGAGGGAACAAATCGTCCATCGATAAACAATTTATCGGGTTCTGGTTTGCTAAAGAAAGCAGTCTTTCCCTCCTCTCTTGCTTTTTTGAGACATAGACTAGGTTTAAGGACTACAAATTTTTAAGAAAGGACAAAAAGTTCACGGGAGTGAAACATCCGTCTTCACTCGCACATGGTCGCCCCCAGTCTCAGTCCATTGTATAATTCATATGGCATGGCTTGTAATTTGCAATTCACAATATCACGTTAGATATATCCCGTGATCTTTGCATAGCGTGACTTTCGACATGGCGTGTCTAAATTTAACTTTGGTCACGCTACGTCGCGTTTGATTGATGGCATCTCCGAACTCGCGATCTTTCCCTATTCTTTAGCGTCTGAGGAAATTAAAACGGCACTGAGAACCTCGCCTTAGCTGATGCGCGTGGAATCGTCCATTTAGTTCCTTTTCTTCGACAAGAGGCATCAGTTTGAACAGGTATTTGACAATTTATTGAATTCGCGTGACTGTACCGTCTGTCTAGACTGATCATCTCGTCTCCAACACTAACATTGTATATTGCCATGTTTGTTTCAGTGAAGCATAGGAATGTAAACCTTCCACTGGTCTGAGTAGTGCCTGGTGAATTGATATTTATTAGCAATCACCTAAAGGACCCTGAAGCTGCCTTATCATTCAGATAAGAAATACGAAAGTCTTTCGCTTAAGAAAGGTAAGCTGAACGGGAATATTGATGCCTTAGCATATTTTTAGGTTCCGATCATGGTATAGTTTCTCCTAAATAAAGAGGTGTTATAACAAAAGCTGATAAAAGCAACTCAAAATACTTCTTCTCAGTTTATCAATTAGTTATTAGTCTTTAAACAGCTGCTCTTGGCCAGTATCCGAGCACACGAAGGCTGCATTTTGTTCTGTGCTTTCCAGAAAAGTGGTCAATTTGTGTTTGAGAGAAGCTCGTTTCTCAGTCGTCCTCACTGTCCTCTTCTCTTGGTCCTTTTTGGGCCTAAACGGCTTTTTGTCGAAACTGTTTATTTTATATCATTTATAATTCATGTTGATGACAATGTCTGGGTAGTTTCTTTCGGAGTTACACCACTAGTTCCGTAAATACAATGAATTGCCATGGCAGCAGCAGTAATGAGCCACGCTTTAGTTGCATTCCGTGTGCATGTAAGTGGTTCCTAACTTTGACTTTTATTGAGAATTCGTAAAACTTGAGACGTTTGTGAATTTAATTGTCTCTCACTAAAGCGAATCTTGAGAGAACTGAGTATCAGCAAAACAAATCAAAACTGAACAGGAAAGTTGAAATTTGCATATCAAAAGTGAAAGAGGAAATTTGGTTTGTTAATGCAATCCTAGCATTGAAGATCAGCAGTGCAAACAGTCTTGATTGATTCTTGTCAACAGATTTTATTGTGAATAAACATCTTCTTTTTCCTACTTGCCTTTTATGGTCAAAATGTTTGCCTCTTTGTTTTTTTCGTTGGACTTTTTAGTTTGTGGAACCAAACTAGTCTGAGAGGGAAAAGAAAATCATCCTACAAATTGACATTATTAAATTGCTTTCAACGGTATTGAAGGACCTTCCGACTCCTTTTGGCAAAGTAGGCAAGATAGGGAGCTGCCACAAATTTAAATTCTATTCAGATTCTCTCTGCGTGATGTCCTTTTTAAAAAGTCTTGCAAAAAAGACAATTTATAAAATACTAATTTGGTTAAGAACATTATTTCGCCCTGCTGACTTTGATTTTGTTTCTTTTTTGTTTACTTCATTTTCAACCCGCATACGCACACTTACTTCTCTGTTTACAGCTGAGTTTAGGAAGTCAGACTTGCCAAATCTCACGACTTTGTCGTGAGTCACACGATTTTAGGACCTATCTCACGCTTTTACGAGTTGACAACTGTTTCCTCACGCTTTCTCGAAAAGTTAAACTCCAAACAATTTTGGAGCTGTAGGTTTTGCTTCCAAGTTAGATATCAATCGATAGCCAGCTCAATCCGAAGAAATCGCTTAGCGGTCGCGTTTAATTACATTCTTTTAGCCTGACTTACTGTTTCTCTTGTTTTATGATGGGGCGAACAAAATATCGAAATTCAGACAGAACATAAATCGTAAAATCGATCGTGATGTTTACTGCTAAAGCTTTAAAGTGATATAGTGGCTTCCAAAACCCGTAATCTCCACTGAAAGTCCTTCCAATACGAAATTTGGGACATCTCACGACTTTTTACCCATTTCTTACTACGTTTGCATTTATGTAGTCGTCAACAGTTGTTAAGCAATTTAATAGTTGCTTAGACTTTCACAAAAAGACCTTTGCAATCGGGCGATTCTTTTGTTTTACGCTTGCGTTTGAGTTACTAACAAAATTTTTCCCCGTATTACTGATAAAACACGTCGATTTCGTCTGAAGTCCACTCATTCCATAGCTTGGTGATTATTTCATAACAAAAGTGAAAACCTGTCAAATTTACAATCATCTTGTTATCAATATGTTCAACAGTTGCACTCTATCTTCACCCAAGATCAAAATGTGCTATGAATTTGAAAACAAGGGTTATGCCCTGACTTTGTAGAAAATGACATGGGTGATTTTATAGCGAGAAACCTGAAACTTCTACAGAATATTTTTAAGTTCATGCAAACAACTGTCACTTTCCCTTTTTCAATCTTATTGTCCAGTAAAGGTTTAAGAGAGGACTGATCTTGAGTAACTACATACACTTGTAGGAAAACCTAACAGAAGGTGCAACGGTTCACTACAGCAAGGGCCTCAGCAGTTACTCTGTGGAGGTCAAGCTTAAGTATAAATGTAATATTTGGAACCCTAAGTAATTTACATTGAGTATACTGTTGTAGACGCACATTTTTAGTTTCCATTTCAACTTTCTCAAGTATCTTTCCTTTTATTTTGATTATTTCTCTACGCTCGCAAAACGAGAACACAAACATGACGTCGAGTTGTTGGGTAGAACTATAGTCGCATTGAGAACCACTTCAAACGAAGGATGACAAAAAAAGTCGGAGCAAGGGCAAGAGGCGGGGGGGTCTCGGTTTAACGTAGGAAACATCACGAGTGTGGTTTCAGTCTTTCGCAATTAAGGTTCAACTGAAGTTAGGAAACACCTTGAAAAACTAATTTTGGTTAGAAAATAGATGTTCGCTATTGGAAAACTAATTAGCTCCTTAATAGGTGTTTGCAGCTGTTATATGTCGAAATAATAGGCCATTTTAGTAAGGAGCTTTGTTTGTTTAAGTGGCACGTTCGTTCACACGTCTACTCCAAAGCTCGCATAATGATTAGTTTCCTGATCTCATTAAAATCTTGTTTAGGCCAGTCGTGTCCCATAACACCTTTTGAGGTCTTTGTTCTCAGTTTAACCAACCGTAAACTGGAATCTGTTTCGACAAAATCTTAGGAAAACTTAGTTTCTTCCCAACTAACGGTTTGGATTCTTGTATCGGAATTCGGTCATAAAGTTATCTCTATTTTTACAAATTCTACCAAGTGTAGCCTTACTTAGCTGAATTTCAATTGCTTTTGTTAACGAACTCATATCACCTGCAAACACCTAGTTTGTGCATGAGAATACTATTGATCTTTTCTAAACACCAGTTAACTTTATTGTTGACAGTTTAGTATATATATAACCGCTTTGTAACCAAAACCTCACTTAAGAATCTGCTGAAGAACCAACTTGAAAGCTAAGCTTTTCTGAAGACTCGACTAGAGTTCTACGAGCTGTGTAAGAAGAGAATAAACTGCGTTTCAACTTATCTTCTTGTGTTCTTGGACGTCTCTCGAAATCTGTACCACACTGTTATTCTAATCTTTCAATCATTTGATAACACTATCGTTCTTCATGTTTATTCTTATTTTATGGTAAATTACAAAATGAGACCTTTCCAACTTTGGGCACTAGTGGGAAATAGAGCATATAACATAAGTAAAACTTTGGCTCCTGTTTGGCTATAATGATCTTTGTCTTGCAGGACTACTCTG